TTATTATTATTAAACAGAAAAGGAATTATTTATTTTTTTAAAGTGGAGTTATTTACTGATTTGTTACAAATGAATTAAGCTTTTAAGTTTTCCTGGCTTTAGAATGAATCTAACTCTTTTTAAGCAGCAATCAACTCTGCTTAGAAAAAGCCCGTTAATACGGTTAACAGCACTCTGGCAAATTGTCCTGATTGAAAAAAAAAAAGTAAAAAGATTCAATTTTCCTGGCTGCGTTCAGTTGTTGATGAGACTGATTTTTATTCACCCATCCAAAGGTGGGGCTTTAAAGCACAAAAAGAGAAGGAGGGTTTGGAACAAATTGCGCCTGTGTTTACTGGCGGCATTCATGCGCCATAATAGCGCATTATTTGCCCCGTTTTTTGAATACAGTAATGCACATCATTCTGTCGAGTCTTTTCTCTGGAAAATTGCTTTAACTTTTAAAAGGGGGATGATGATGAATCACATCAGAGTGGGTCAATTTTACATTATGTCATTATCTCTGGACGCTTTAACAAAGCTATAGAATATGGCTTATTGAATTGTGATAAGCGCCAATACCAGGAAAAATTAAGAATTCTTTGAAAAAAATTGTAAAAATATTTAATCTTATTTATATTAATTAAATGTTTGGTTGAAGTTAAATAAAAATCATTTTAATAGTTTGTCTTTGGAGCAGAAATCCCCCTTTTCTTAAAACTTTTTAAAAAGGTTTTAAAGGATGCGCTAAGACTAGCTGTCGTTTTTAATTAACCCCTCACCTGCACCCACTCCCCCCACCTGCCCCCTAACAAGTGCGCAGCCGGAAAAGAGTGCGGCACAGATGCACCAACAAGTCCACAGACACGTGGATTTTATGGAGGTTAATAAAAAAAGGCAGAAGGAYCAATCATGCGCCATATTTAGTTTTTCTTGGCACGCTTTCCGTGTGGTTTTACGCACAAGTTCTTTTAGAGAGTTTGGTCCTGTCAGGGCTGACTTCTAAACTTCATCGTTGCACATAATTTTTTTTAAACATGAACACAATCACTTAAAAATTGCGACACAACGCAGAAATACTAACATGTTTAGTTTTCTTTTATTTTTTTTTTCCTGACACACCATCATCAAATGCGCGCAAACTGTTTTGGATAAAGTCGTCTCCAAGTTAACCCCTGCAGTTTGAGCTCAAATGAACATGTATTTTTTTTTTTTTTGCAACATGCATTGCGCATGATCCGAATATGAAAAATAAGAAATAAAAACCAGGATCCAGCGCGGCGACAAGCCGCAAATAAAATGAATGAAACGCTTACCTCCTGGAGATTTGACGCATGAGCTCAATTCTGCAACGAAAAGAGACACACTGCGCCTTGGTGTGAGAAAACATAAAAATAACTGTATGCATTAAATATATACATATATCAAACGGTGTCTTGGATGACAGTGTGAGCGGAGAGGCTGCACTGCACGTGATTGACGGCGGGGTTTTTTGGTGTTTCTGTCTGCGGTCGCGCTTCTCATTGGCTGACATCTGCCTCCCCAGCCACCAGTGCAGCGCGCAGATTGGCTGCGCGTCCTTTCCAGCTGTACATCAAAGAACACGCTCGCTACAACTAAGGTAGTGTTGGTGAGCTGCGAGCCAGGAGAGAGACCGTGTGACCCGAGTCAACACGGGGGGAACAAAAAATCTGGATCAAATTGGAGCCATACAGCCTCGACACCGCGAACGCACTCACCACAGCTCCGAGCCTGGATATGGCTACGTCTATACTCGGGGTAAGTTCTGGCTTTACGCGCAAAAGTTACGCACTAAGTTTCATTGTCCCTTGCGGCTAAATAAGTTTGGAGCTTTCGTAAACACGAACACTGTGATATTTGTGAGGAAGATGAATTAAATGCTATGTAAGCTGTTCTTTAACTCGGTTTACTGTTTAAAGTAACTTTTGGATCATTTTAAAATGTCTTATTTGCGCAAACTTTACTGTGGCTTTTCTGCTCACTTATGTTTCAATGTAATAAAATTGTTGATTTGTTTGTTTTTGTTGTTGTAAACTCACTTAAATGAGGCACTTTGCTTCTTCTTCACATTATATTTAATTTATGTTGTAGCCAACTAAATAAAAAGTTTTCCTCGTGGTTTTTTAAAGTTTCTTATTCAGTTTTTCAATTATTTAAGTAAAAACTTTTGCTGTTGTTTTCACTTTATTTTATTATTATATTTGTTTTTTGTTTTTCTCAGGAAGAGCCGCGGTTTGGAACTACACCCTTAGCTATGTTGGCTGCAACTTGCAACAAAATCGGTAACACCAGCCCTCTGACAACTTTACCTGACTCCAGCGCTTTCTCCAAAGGTGGATTTCACCCGTGGAAGAGGTCCTCCTCCAGCTGCAACCTGGGCTCCAGCCTGCCGGGCTTCACGGTCGCGACCAGCCGAGCCTCCACGGGACTAACAGCGAGCAGCGGCGCGGGCAACAGCGCCTTCTGCTTAGCCTCCACCTCCCCGACCTCCTCAGCCTTCTCCACCGAGTACAGCGGCCTGTTTTCCAACTCCGCGAGCGTCACGACGCAGGAGTCCGGCCAGTCGGCCTTCATCTCCAAAGTCCACACGTCAGCCGAGACTCTGTACCCGCGGGTGGGCATGGCGCACCCCTACGAGTCCTGGTACAAGTCCGGCTTCCACTCGACGATCTCCGGCGACGTGGCCAACGGCGCGTCGTCGTGGTGGGACGTCCACAGCAACCCGGGCTCGTGGCTGGACGTGCAGAACCCCGCGAGCACCCTGCAGAGCTCGCTGCACTCCGGGACGCCGCAGGCCATCCACTCCCAGCTGAGCGGCTACAACCCGGACTTTTCGTCGCTGACGCACTCGGCGTTCAGCTCCACCGGGATCAGCCCGTCCGCGTCCCACCTGCTGTCCACGAGCCAGCACCTGTTGACGCAGGACGGCTTCAAAACCGTCATCCCCACCTACACGGACGCTTCCGCCGCCAACGCCATGATTTCGGGGGGCAGTTCWGGAATAAGCAGCTCGTCCAGGTCCTCCAGGCGGTACTCCGGCAGAGCAACATGCGACTGTCCGAACTGCCAGGAGGCCGAGCGGCTGGGGCCCGCGGGGGCCAGCCTGCGGAGGAAGGGACTCCACAGCTGCCACATCCCGGGCTGCGGGAAGGTGTACGGAAAGACCTCTCACCTGAAAGCGCACTTGAGGTGGCACACCGGCGAGCGGCCTTTTGTCTGCAACTGGCTGTTCTGCGGCAAAAGGTTCACTCGGTCCGACGAGCTCCAGAGACACCTGAGGACCCACACCGGCGAGAAGCGCTTCGCCTGTCCGGTGTGCAACAAGCGCTTCATGCGCAGTGACCATTTGAGCAAGCACATCAAAACGCACACGGCGGGCGGAGGGGGCAAAAAGGGCAGCGACAGCGACACCGACACCAGCAACCTGGAGACCCCGAGGTCCGAGTCCCCGGAACTTATTTTGGAGGGGGTGAACCCCAGGATCACGGTGAAAGACCCGTCCCCCCACGACGAGCCCTGAGGCGGCACCCAAAATCAAAGCAGAGAGAAAAAAAATTAATAAAAATGAATAAAAAAAACTGCACAGCAATGAAAACGGGTCGTATTTGACACACAAAGCAAGAAAAAATAGTTTAAAAAAACATAAAATATACCCACACAGGCGCAACGAGTATTTCATTTATAAATCCATCTAAAGAAAACGCAAACTGATTTTTGGCCTTTTGAAAAAAATAAATCAAAGACTTGGAGGCGCGTAAAAACCTGTTGAACTCTGTGAGCCCCAGCTTGTATATTAAACCCCTAAACTCYGTGTTTCCTCATGTAAATGTCATAAACTTGGACTGTTTTATTCGTGTTGGTATCCTGGAAATCAGGGAATTTACTTTCCGACGCACTTTTGTGGATATATATGTATGTACACAGCTTTTTCCCCTCCTCCTCTCTACCCCCTAAATTTTTTGTTAATCATTTGATTTCTTTGCTTAAAAAATAATCTATATATAAATGTTTACCTGTATAAAGTCACACATAAAACCTTCATTTATCGTAATTAAAACATCTGAAAAAAAAAAGGCTGTATTTGTGTGTAAATTTGATATTTGATTTTCTTCAAATCTGAGTATTTTATTGAGGTATTTTTTTTAAAAGAAGTGTTTATTTCTTCTTTTAAAAAATAATAGCTGGTTTGCCCTCCCCGTGGAATAAATTCGTGTTTAATTCCCTGGAAAAGACATTTCATGGCTAAATGAAAACCTTGTTAAATGTTATTAATTATGACTTGGAGCACTTTGCAGCCCCATGTGTCTTGTATTTTGCGATTAGGGATYCCTGTCTTATCAAATATCTAATTAATCTCCGAGACATCTATTGTTCACTTTCACTTCATCTGGGGGGGCTTAGAAAAGGTCCCCGAATATTTATTCTAATTGTCCAAATTAACTGCTTTCATTTGCATCCCAATCCATCCACAGAGGAAGGATACGCCTTTTTTTAAAAACCAGAAACATAGATGTTAGAGGAACAGTTTTTTTTCTCACCTCAGAAAAAATAAAGGCCAAAAAGTCAAATGCAAATGTTGGATTTGAAATGCTTTTTTTGCGCGGCGCAGTCAAATGGCCCCGTGTTATTTGAATATCAGTGGCCCCGGCATTGAAAGGGTTCAAGGATGCTCTCTGACTTCTTTGTGTTTACCCAGTGCAGCGTCCGACTCCCAGGAAAGAGAGGAAAAAAAAAAAAAAAAAAAAAAAACAGGGAATAATAATTACAGCCTGAATCCAAGGGAGGGAGCACGTCAAGGAAAAGCATCTCATTCAGACACCTATTTTTTTTTTTTTGTAAGGCAGGATGTTAAATTGARCAGAAGGCAATAGAGGGGAAATTATTTTCATTTCCTGCTGTGCAACAAAAGCACCTAAATTGTTAAAAGATAAAAAGACATTATTATGCCTCCAATTTCTATTCAATAAAACATATAAAAC